GGTAAATACATGGCCTGCTGTCTGCTGTATCGTGGTGATGTGGTGCCCAAAGATGTCAACTCTGCTATCGCAGCCATCAAGACCAAACGCACCATCCAGTTTGTGGACTGGTGCCCCACTGGCTTCAAGGTGGGTATCAACTACCAGCCTCCAACTGTGGTTCCTGGTGGAGACCTGGCCAAGGTGCAGAGGGCCGTGTGTATGCTAAGCAACACCACAGCCATCGCTGAGGCCTGGGCCCGACTGGACCACAAGTTTGACCTGATGTACGCCAAGAGAGCCTTTGTTCACTGGTATGTTGGGGAGGGCATGGAGGAAGGAGAGTTCTCAGAGGCCAGAGAAGATATGGCTGCTCTGGAGAAGGATTATGAAGAGGTGGGCACTGACAGCATGGGAGAGGAGGATGAAGAGGGAGAAGAGTACTGAAGAATCAAACATCATCACGCATTCCAAATGTTGTGAAAGTAACACATTCCCACCAAAATCCACACATGTGGTGATTCGTCAGTATTGTCAATAAAAGTTCTCATAAAAGTGTCGTGTGAAGTTGTGGACATTCTTGATCTACTTAACCAGGCTATGTTAGCAACTGTATAACTTAAGTGTGTAATACTGCAACAGTTGACTACTTGTCTAGTTCAAATGCTAATAATTTATCTTCTGAGTCAAATGGTGAAGTTATCAATTATACATATATATTTTTAACAAGGTTCGGGCTTTCAAAGTGGAAGAAGATATTTTATCAGCATTATGGTGAGAGGTAGTATTAGCAAATCCAGAGACATCTGAAACACTATGTTTTGACACATTACATAATTTATCATATACTTTTTAAACTTGATATACACAATCCTGTTGTTTTTCTTCCCATGTCTCTGGGTGGCTTCACTTCACTTTTAGAAAAGAAATTCCAGCCTGTGTGTTCAGTTTCCTGCTTTTCTTTATGCCAAGCTGAGTGACAAGTAGGCGTTTACGATTTACTCCTGCTTCCTGCATTTTTTCCTGAGGCCAGCAGGTGAAAACAAAGGGACACGGGTAAAAATTTGAGGTTGGTGTAGGTGAAATTGTCTGCCCTTCAAGCTTTTATTCCTTCCGATCAACATAATAGTCTGATATTGGACCAATTTATTTTCCTGTGTAATTTATTCTCCTAAACAAATTGATTTGATGTGAAGTCGAGCCCACTTCAATTCCGTGCCAAATAATAACATTCATACAAAAATGGCAATCTAATTACGATCCAAGGTCCTCCATCAAAGATAAATCAGATTAACAAAAAACAGACATCAGATTAACAAATAACTTAAATTACAAAATTAATCTAATTTATTCGTTAAACTATTTTAAATGCCAATATCAAGTCCTAAAAGTTTCATATATTTTTTCAATCTTATTTACAATATTCACTTAAAAAATATATCTAGCTCTCTTTCTTTGACGTCCCACCTGCAGTACCCATCTCTCCACCAGGAGGCGGTCTTCTACACTTTACTATTCATAACATGGCCTAGGAGGTTTGATTACACGTCGCTGAGAGGTCCAGATAACTCTGATATTACATGATGTCCTCCTTGTGTGATCCAGATCAATGACTCTACCGATTAATCACGTGCTAAACTGGAAACCTAATTTCTATAATCTACCTATATGATTACCTACCAATAAGAAAGTACAGCGGGATGTCAGAATTACAACTTGATTGTAGTAAAATCGTTTCCTCGTTTCCCCGCTCCAGCTACACGGGTGCGACTGTAAATTATTTAGTAATTTCTGCGATGATTGCGTGATCTATATTTGAAAAGAAAAAAATAGTTTCTAGGTTTTGCCATATGTTTATGTTTAGAGGTTAAAGCATTATCACGGAGCAACAGGCGGGCGCTGAGGCATGCAGGGCGGGCCCGGTGACGTTTCCAAACGCTGGCATTTTCTATGCGCTCTATTTTTTTCTATGCGCTCGCGGTGACGTAGCGCGTGGGGCTTAGAGGAGCACTCGGGACAAACACAGCTGACTGCGCGCATGCTATCTCGGTGGGGACTTCAGCACAGACCCTAACGCTAGGTTACAGTCATATTGGCTTGGTGGAAGATATTTGCGGTGAAGAAACAGGCCGAAAACAGGGGAGGTGCCTGTACGGCTGTCAACAAAGGAGAAGAAAAAGAGGGGGAGTGTAGTCCAGAAGGACCGCTATAACAACTAATTCATTGTCGCTCCAAACTGGTGGACAGACGGCTAAACTGCTCACTCATTAGGCCAAAACACTCCTAAGGTAGGTCCATTGCCGAGGTTAGGCGTAACAACTTGTGCCTATCCAAATAGGTGCTGAAATTTATGACAGATGTCCAACTTTACCATAAAAGGAGATGTGCTACCGAAATACCAAATGATGTTAATTGTGCCCTGATGTCAATACTCGAATAGCACAGCACCTGTGCCTCCAAGTTCATCTGTCCCTGTATTTAAGCGTCTATAAGGCCTGCAGTCATGTCAGCACTGCAGCAGTTGACAAATGCCTTGGCGCTAGAAATAACATAGTAATGAGGCTTGTATGAGTGTATGGCTGATTCCTGAAGGGGCAAAGAAAGTTAGATTTAGTTGTTTCACCTCAGTTCGGAAGTCCCCTTCAGCCCCGAAACGATTACAAATGAGACTGGCATCTCGTCTGTGGCTATTATAGAACAGCTGACTGTGCCAAGATCTTTTTTTTTTTTAAGATAACAGGTTTGATGCTTTCATGTGACCGTTCTGAAGCAGTTTATAACAGGTACATTTATGATTCAGTGAAGTCTGCTGATTAGGTTTTTATTTACTCTTTCAAACTCAATATATTTGTTGGAAATTTCAAATTAAAAAAGGACCTAAAGGAGTTTTTTTATACTAGTTAAGAGAATGTATTTGGCTTTAAAATCTCTATAGATTAAAGTTTCTGTCCTTTTATGCATGCATCACATACAAGTTGCTAATTGATTAGTTAAAAATTAAAACATTAAAACAACCGGCAGCACGGTGGCA